GAACGGAGCTGACAGGAGAGAAGCATTCTTCGAGCAACCGCCAAACAACACTGAGACGCCTCACAGAGGCAGGGTCCGCATTCCGGTACACGACCTTCTACTTGCGTGGGAGGAGATGCACTTGTGTGAATTGCTGGAACTAGACAAGGACTATCAAGCAAGCTTCACCAAGAAGCAGTTTAAGACTGATGGGAAAAATCAGGTTTGCATTAAGTGCCAGAAGAAGGTTCTGATGGGCACCAAGGGCGACGTGGTCAAGTGGTACCAAGACCGACACCCGAACTCGCTCATCTCTACTGCAACGCTCAGGAAGCTCGTGTGCCCATGCATGCGCCCCAGCTCGGGCAACGACTGCGCCTGTCCCATCTGCTGGGAGATAGTCTACATCATTAAAGCCCTGCGGGAATCCTTCAGGCAAAAGGGTGACATATGCGACTGTGAGGCATGCAAACCCGGCTCGGCATGGCGCGCGGCAATACAAAGCCCGCATGCTTTAAGGCTTGCACTGTCACCGTGCGGCAAAGATGCCCTGCCCTGGATTTAAGCTCCCCAAGGAGGAGGAGCCGCCTGAATTCTACAGGTTCCTCTGTGCCGTGGAGAAACAACCGCCGAAAGGCGCCGACAAAGTCCTCCCTGAGCATCACAGCAAATGCGCACAGTGCACGTTTGGCTACCAGATGGTGATGCCAAAGGAAGGCAAGTGCAAACGACTGGCATTGCCGCTCACGTACCATGCAAGACGCAAAATCAACGCGGCCCCGAAAGTCGATAAGTGCTTTGCGGAAAAGTTCGTAAAAGTTCCGTCCACGTATGGTGAGATCATCAACAAGTTGGCAGATAAAACAGACAAATGGCATCAGCACATGTGGATCAAGCAACTGACCAAACGTGCGCAGGAGCTGGAAATTGCTACCTTCGATGGCGAACGATCGATCGTCGTTGTTACGGACTTTGCGAACCGCAACAAACTGCACGGGATCGCACAAACCACCAGCGAGATCAGCCCTGCCGTTGGATGCGCGGTCGCCATCGTGCTTTACAACCCAGGCGAGCAAGTGGACGGGCAAGAAAGGCCCGTTCAGACGGACGTCTGGCGCATCTTTAGCGGGGCCAAGGACTGTGCGCATTACAACGCTCTCCTAATAGAAGAGATTTTCGTGCACTACAGCGGCCAGGAACCACACAAGGAATCAAAATTGCAAATGCCAGAAGGAGGATGGGGAGAGCTTCGACATGATCGGCTGAGTCCGCCCACTATGAGCGCAATCGGGCGTGCATATTCCCGAGGCGCAGTGCCCGGCCTTAAAAAAATTACGGTGATTTCAGACGGAAAAACATCGACGTATAAGGGCGCACCTTCCTTTGGGTATCTCTATGGAATTACAGAAAAATACGACGTCGAGATCATGCAGATGTTTGGCGCAGCGCACCACATGAGCGGCCCGGTTGACGCATACGGTGCGCAGCCCGCAAGGTTGCGCATGAAG